TTTGTATGGGAAGATAAAAATCAACAAGTAGATAACCCTAATTCAAGATAAAACAAGCATGCAAATCAAACACACTATTCACACATGCACCCCTAATGTTAACTCTATTTGTTGCCTAAAATTGATCATGTTATGCATATGAGATGTCTTAGCAAAAACAATAAAAAATACAAGATCATAGTCCCTCGATGACGCTACAAATGTTGCCTTTCAAATGATCTTAGTCCCTCAAAGAGAAAATGCTAAGATATCTCACAACATTGCTATCATGACTATACAATAACCCACGCCCATCCCTTTACATCCAAAGATAAGGCTTCTTACCAATTAATGGTAAGATAGCAATATCAAAGGAAAGGGAAGAAATGAACAAAAGACTTTTGAGTTGGTAGAAACGTTCTTAGTTGCTTGATCACTTTCAAAACAAAACACACACCAAACATTTTCAAAAAAACAAACATCTTTTCAAATACACTAACACTTTCCATGAAATATTTTCAAAAGTCCAACACTTTGTATACATTCTCGCCGAAACGAGGATCATTACAAAGTTCGCCTAAACAAAGGCGCCTTTTCAAAAATACTTTCAAAAACCACCACAAAGCATACTTTCAAACCAAAGCAAGTGATCTAGCAAGAAACTAAGAGCCCATAGATGACTATGGATGAAAAGGATGCTAACAGCTTCCCTTTTCATAATCTACCCCCCGAACTCAAGAAAATAATCTCAAAGGTCTTTCCTGTTCTTTTCAGCCTTTCTTTATTGGATAAAAGAAAAGTCAGTGGCGACTCTTGCTAACCGCAACAATTGCGATCAAACGCAAAACATCCCAAGCCAGTTCTCCCACCGTATTACACCTTCCATGAAATTTCTTCTTTCCCTTCTCCATTTTATTTCTTTCTCTTACCAAAAATTCTCTTTCGCATATTAATTAATAATGGTTGGTCTCTTTTAATAAATATTAGTCTCTTTTGAATCCATTAATTACTCTATTGAACTCAACTGACACCAACTGACAACTAATAAAGCACTTAGGAAATCAGTTTATCCCAACTGACAACAATTGATACACAATTGAATATTTAAGGGAATATGGTATATTACACCTGTTTTATCCGCACTTTTTCGCGGGGCCAACCAAAGTTTTAGGCTCATAACCTAAAATTTGCCCTCCCTGCCCACCCTGTTTTTTGTGGGCTTTTGTGGGCTTTTGTGAGAACGGGCATTTACATAAAATTTTATATTTTTAGGCCTAAAAGGTGTAAAGCTCGCGAATATTCTCCTCTCCGACCTCATTTTTTGTGGGTCGGGTCAAAGTTTTAGGCTCGCGCCATCAACTATATTTGTCCTATTTTTTTTGCAGGCTTTTGCGAGGCAGGCATGCCCGTTTGCCACCCATAACTAAAGCGTGTCTCCCTCCAATGTGATACTTTAATGAACTTATTTAAATTCAACACCATAGACACTAGCTCATACTTATGCTCATTTATTGCCAACTTAATGCCACTAACGCCTTCCAATTCTCTATTAATCTATTGATTTCCAACAATCTCCACTTGAGTTTTAAAAAGTGATTTTAGAAGGAACGTTAATCGTTTCTAAGATTGTACATAAGCAGAGGTGTCTAGGACTTGAACCTTTGCGTAGCAAGTAAAATTTTGATTCCACAATAGTGACACAATTGTCTTGAACTCTATCGGAGACATAAAACCATCACACAATATTTTCTTAAGGTGTATTCTAATAGTTTGTGCTTTAATGGTCCTGCACGTGTATTCTGGTTTAGTGATAGCTCTAAAAATTATATCTCGAAATTCCATAGGAACCGACCTAAGTTGTTTTGAATTATCGGCATAAGAAAATTATGTAAAAATTGTGTTGGTTTAATGAGTTATTCTATAATGTTAATTTATTCTGCTATAAAGTCGTGTTGAATTAAATCAGTTATAAAATTGTACTGGATTAAACATTTTATAACTCTTTTTATAAAATTATACTGTAATGTTGATTAAATTATGCTAAAACATGTTATAACTTTGATTTTTAATGTTGCAACCTGTTAAAACCTACTATAATGTTGATTAAACTTTGCTAAAACATGTTATAACTATGGTTTATAATGTTGACAAAGTAACTTGCTATAATATTGATAATATAACTTGTTTCAAATGAGAATGACATTAAACATGTCAACAACTAGTTTCAAACGATAATGGCATCATACATAAATTTTAGGGTTAATGCCATTTTACCCCTGGCATAAAGGAGACTTATGGTTTATCCCATGTAAAAAAATTGTAATTTTAACCATGTCACATGAAGATTGTGTTTGTTTGGACCTTTGAGTGAAATGACACTCTCCATATGCTTATGCGTCCTGTTTATTGGTAATTTTATTTTGTTTTTCAACATTTTCATATTATACTTGAGTCAACTTATATCATATCACCATTTACTCAATATTTAAATTTTTTTAGGCATTAAAATAAACTGAAGCTTCTCGTCCTCCTTCATATCTTTCGAAGAAAAGCAAGAACCTAAAGCTTCATGTTGTTACTATATCATGTGTCATCTCCTCCATCATATCCTTAAAAAAAGCAAGAAACCTGAAAATTCTTCTTCCTATATTGTGTGTTAGGTTGTTAGGGTTTAAAAATGGGTGGTAGTAGAAATTCTTCAATTGGAAATTTGAATGCAAGATAAATATCCAGACGTGGTTTCAATTTATTGATGAAGACGTGAGTTTCAAATATATTGGAAAACCCTAGGAGGAAGTTCTGGAGATGCAATTTTTTTGAAAAGGTGCATATTATTTGAAATACCCAGAAATTTTGTACTTCTTATTCTTCCACAATTTCTTGATGTCTAAGTTATTGTTAATTGTAGAGTGATATAACTTATGACTTGTTCATGTGGGATGATGAAGTTGATGAAATGCCATAGAAATATTGAAATAATTCAGTGTCCACAAGTGAAGATACAAAGTGCAACAATTGTGAAGATATACTTGGTTATCTTAAAGTATTTAGGAAGGATTTTGGGAAGGAGTTTGACAAAGAATGTGGAAAAGAGTCAAATTCAAAGAAGGTTGAAAAAAATAAAGAAGATGCTGCATAATGAAAAGAAGAAATGTTATTGGATAATGGTTGTCCTTATTGTATCATGGTTGTTGTTTGGTATTGTATACAAAATGATGTAACTTCCATTTAGTTTTAGTGCCTCTAAAATGCAGTGTAATGATGTTTTAAAACCTATGAATTCTGATGTAATGTTATTGTTGGTTTAATAAATGAAGAATATTAAAATATGAATTAGAATTGTTGTAACATAAACTTGTCAAAATATTCAAAATATTCATTACATAACAAAGAAATACAAAATCATAACAAAAATACTACATATGCAACTGTCTTAACAAAAAAGCACTATTTGTACATCTGTCTTAACAAAATGGTAATTAATTGTTCAATTGTCATAACAAATTCGGTTATTTCACTAATTTAATCTCCTAGTAATGTCATCCCAAGATCTCATTGTCTTAACGCAGGCCTGGCTCAATCACATCAAATTCTTGAGTCAAAGTTCCCACTTCATCATCAAGTAGAAACATTGGTTCATCGTTACTTGATCCCAGCCCTTTAGTTATCTTAGTTTTCAAAGTTCTCAATCTATCACCAGTTCTTTTGGTTTCACCTTTTTTGTTATCTTTGAATCTTTCTTGAATGAAACACTTTTTCTATCCTCATCAATATTTCCAAAGTTTGTGTAAAACCTATAATCAACTTGCACGTAGCTCAGGAGCTTATGCTTCATTAGCTCGGGCCTGAGCTTTCACTTTATCAGTCTGCATGTCCACAATAGTACCGTCTTTTCTCATAGTATTCATTGAAACAAATAAAGAAAACAATTTTAAAAAAGATTAAACTATCGGAAATTTCTAAATTTTCGGTATTTTAAAAAAAATATGAACTATCGGAAATTTACAAATTTCCAGTACACAAAGTGAACACTCAGAAATTTCAAAATTTCAGATATATAACATAACAAAATCATCAAAAATTTATAAATTTTTGACACAAAATATTGGAAATTTCTAAATTTCCGTGATAATACCAGGAATTTGGTATAAAATACCGTAAATTCTTTCTTTCACGAAATTTCTGGTAGCCCACAAAATCTCTGATATCACCTTATAAATTTGAAATTTTCGATATAGAATAAATTTTTTTAAAAATATGTGAAAAATCTTAATTGGACTATTTTAGTCTTTTCATCCATTTTAGAGGATGCCAAATTCATATAGAGGAGTATCAAGTTAAAACCTCATCACCTTCACACACCTTTTCTTTACCTTCTTCATGCTAACCCTTCGCTTTTCCAAATACATTTTTTTCTTCTAATGACATGGTAAAACCCAACTAGTTCATAAATAAAAACTAAACGCACAAATGGTTTTTCATAATTAATTAATTCATGTGTATATTGGACCGTATACAAATATATTTAACTTTTCTTGCATTTGCAAAGGCATTAGCAATTGACTGATTTAAAAAATATATTTGTTACTGTTTTTTTAGTTGAGTGCGACTATCATTAATAAATATGTAGGTAAACAATGAGTTATTTTTTGAAAAGTTTTGAAATCCATTTCCGAAATATTTCAGATATATATTTTTGAATTATTTTTTTGACATATTAGAAGTGTCTCACTTACAACACATTTTTATGTGTATTAAATGTATCTAAAAATGCGCCTTAGAAATATAAAAAGGATAAAATCGAATTTTTAGTAAGTGATGCTTAAAAAATGCAAGGATAATACCAAAATGACCAATCTGATACAAGTTTTACTTACTTGTAAATTGTCAATTGACATTTTTCTAAAGGGTGGTTTAAATTTTTACATTTTTTATTTTTATTTCATCAATATAATATAAAATTGACAAATTTAAAATAATCTGTCAAAATATAGAAGAACAAAAGTTCATAAAATTTACCTTATAGTTACTTAATTTATCTTATAGTTACATTACATTGCAACTATTATTTACAAAGAGTGGAGGTATCCATGTGTTTTTTATATCTATCAGATTTGATTTTTCAAGTGATGAGTCTCACCGTATGGAAACCAGTTATAATATCACAACAAAGCTTCTTTAGAAGAACTACACCAGCATCATTAAATTACTACAATGTAGTAGTAGAACAATACATTATCATCGATTTTACATACACACCAACTAAAATTACTCATTCCAATTCTAACAACATAAAATTGGTTTTAAATTATTTAAAAATGTCACTCAATTAAATATGCATACAAAAACTAAAGAGCAATAATAGATTTTCACTTCATTGCATCATTCCATAATAGATGAGTGCGAAATAGGGAAACACATTTCTGATTGTCCTATAATCAACAGAACATAACCTGCGGCAATTCCAATCAAAAAGGAGTGAATACAACAATGTAGTAGCAAATCAAAAAGCAGACTTGATGCGGAAGCAATTGAACAACATGAACCTTTGCATAATGTTCATAATATTGCACACAACACTTTTCATATCTTCTATCCTTTTAAAACTCTGGCTGCTTTTCTTATCATAAGGAGTTCAGTCATACAAAAAGGGATTAATTCAAATTGGTTTTCTTACCAAAGTTCACTACAAGCTCAGCCGGGTAAACTCAGTTTCGTTTGAGTTTACTAAAACTCGAGTTTACAGCTAAATCAACTATTTAGACTCGTGGAATCATACAATTTCACGAGTTTACTCGCGATTTTAATAACTTTGCTTGTAGTTACAAGCTTGTTTGATAAAATGAGATGTGTTCCTTACACAAGTTTTTCTCGCTAGCATATAGCTTTTCTTGAGAAGCTATTTCAAGTGGCGTTTGAGCTTATAATTTAAAGCTTTTTACATTTGCTCACATTTTTAAACCAAGCTTATAGCTTAGTTTTACCAAACCAAGCTCGAGTATTTATCGTATAAGCGTTTGTGTATAAATTGTTTCAACAAGAGACTAGGAAACAAAGGGAAACTCTATACAACTATTCTAATTGAATAAGAAAATAAGCTACAGGTTATGAGTATATCATAAGTTATTACCATAACTTATTTCAAACACTTGTGCAACAATATGTTATAACATAATTTTTAATTTTTAATCAAACAATATACCTGTATTTTCTCCTAGCTTACTATTTTGGATTGTCCACTAAAAAATCGCTCATCGCTTGAAAATTGAAATCAATGGTAGTTTATAAACCTCTAATATAAACCTACTCAACCTAAGCCTTTTAACTAACAACAACAACAAACAACCAAACCTTATCACACTAAATGAGGTCGGCTACATGAATCAACTTTTACCGTGATGTTTTATTCAGGATCATAATTCTATCCAAATCGTTAATCTCAAGATGTTTCTTAATAACTTCTCTTAACTAAATAATACATAGACAATCAAAGTCATCTCAAGTTTTTGGAGACTCCGTGTACTTTAGCCACAGTTTAACCATGGAAAAACAAATATCTTATAAGACCCTATTTACCTATAGGCTATAGTTTAGCCCTGACAAAATTGAAACCCTATGTGATAGTCCGCCTTGCATACTCTCAAAACGGCTATGTAGACAATATAACACATCACTAGAAAAACATAATTAGGTCTCCCACTTAGATTATGTAATTTTATAAACATTTCATAGCTCAAACAACTTAAAAAAAAAAACTACCTTTAATTTCATTTCAAACTTAAACCTAAAATGAAGAGGTAATAGAGAAAATTATTGAGTTGAAAATTCAGTCATGCCCAAATTCACAATTATAAGTCACAAACCCTAAAACCCACAAACAAACAAAAAAATTGAGTCTCGTAAAAAAGGTTTAACAAAAATCGAACCTTGATTAAAAGGGTTTACTCTGAATCTCCATAACACTGGGAAGAGGAGGAACATAAAGAGAGTAAACAACGGCCTGTCGTTTCGCCACTTCAAGCTGAGACTTTCCGAATTCAAAAGCTTCGGAAACTGAAGAAGCTTCAGAAAGCGTTGCGTTTTCACGAAACGCATCGACGGCACGTCGTTTAGTGTATTCCCTAATGTTGTAATCGGGAAACTGACGAGATAGTCGTATGAAGGTGCGGAGGAGCGACAGGATTTGGGATTTCGAAGGAGATGAAGTTGTTGCCGCCATTGTAACCGGCACGGAGAGGAAAAGTAGAATCGGTGGTGAAAATTTGTTTGGATTTGAAGGTTGAAGAATGAAGAAACGAAATTGTAGAGAAACCGAATCGGTGATGATGCTAGAAGGCGGAGAGTTGTGGTGAGTTTCTGATGATGCTTGCAGGGATGCGAGAGTGACGGTTTTACGGTAAGGGTTTGGGTTTGGGTTTGGAAACAAAAGATGCTATTTATTTTTAGATTAATTGCTGATTGGTCCCTGAACTTTTATCTATTTGAAATTAAAAAAATACATAAATAACAATATTTTCTAGCCTCCTAAATCATCTCACAAACAAGTGCTGACGTGTCATTTTCTATAACATTTCACAATTCAATAATAAATTAAGTAATTTTTTATTTCACTCTTGTTATATGGGATTCACTTCTTAAAATTTAAATATGTTTCTGAGTAAATTTGAAGATGTATATTCGAACGTATTAAATATTAATATTTTTATAAAATTTAGTTTAGAGATGCAAGTTTAAAAACACTTTTGTTATAAGGAAATTTTTTTACCACTCAGTGATATTTTTGGAGATGTATATCCGAAAATATTCAATGGAAATTTGAGTATATGACCACCTTTCATGATCATCTTCCTCACTTTTCCAACACTTCTAACTCCTCCATAATCAAAAAATCTTGAAAAAAATCTCATTATCAATCAACTTTTTGATTCAAAATTAGATTTTGTGCATTTTAACACATCAAAGGGAGCATCATAAGCTACAATTTAAGGTAAAGTTCACTCATTTCATCCCTTATTACTTGTATTGATCTTTAGTTTGAGCTGAATAAACATTCACTTTGTCCGGAAATACATATCCGAACTCACTTACATATTTTCGAATATGTATATCTGAATTCAACTGTTACTGATTTTTATAAATGTTTTTTGTTTTGCTTCTTATTAGATATGGTTCACCCGATTATATTTCCCAAAATTGTTGTACGTAACGATGTAAAACAGGATGTAGCGAAGGATAATGTTAATCCAATTGAAGTTAAGCAGGATATTAAACCAGAAAAAAATGAACCATGCTGTTAAAGTGAGATATAAACGTTGGTCAATGTTTCATAGATGAACAACTGTATACTACTCGCGAACACATGCTTCAATGGATCAGCATGGTAGCCAGGAATTTGAAGTTTGGTGTAACACCCTTCTAAACTCACATATAGTTCGCATATATTTTACGAAAATAATTCAAATAAAACCACCAACAAGAGTGTCACATTTTCATATAAACATCATATAAATCACCATGCTCTGTAACACGGGTTTTTAAAATCAATTATAACAAATACTTCATGAACAACAACAATGACATTTCAACTATTCGTAGCGGAATTCATTGTCTTAAAACACTTTATTAAAATACTTCATACAAGCTTCATCACACTTTATCATTCATGATTCATAATTCCAATAACACAAATACCATGAAAGGTAGTTCAAATCTCAAGATACTAAAATAACATAATTAATCCAATCAAACGATCTCAACCCTGATGTTACATATCATAGCAAGACCCACTTTATTCAACAGGAAATAAATAACGCACTCTAAAGCTATCCTCTAAGCTCCAACGAACTATTCTTGATTACCTGCAAGTTACCCACGTATAGAGGCAATATTTCCAAGCAGAAAGGGTGAGTAATCACAAATTATTATAAAAGTATTACAACAACAAATCATCATGAATTCTACTTATCATCATACTACACATATTATACTCACACTTTTGCATCATCAATACACATCAATTATATCATTATATCATCACATAAACATCTATCATCAAACATTAACGAAATCACAATGTCATCAACATCACTTAATCAATCATTATGCAATGTCACATATAATGTAATGTAACATCATTGACTCATGCATGTCATACCAAAACTTCACTGATGACCAAGTCATCTTCCTCCAAAGATCTCCACCATATGATCGAATCCCGCTTAAAACTGAAGCACTTCACAACAATGCACTCAACCGATATCATGGGATTAAGATTTTCACTGGACTAACATCCTAACAATCATCACTGGACCAACGCCCTAACATCACTGAGCCAACGCCCTAACATATGCCATGAATGCATGATGCACAACAACACAAATAAACATGACCACTGCTAGTCAAAATACATCATCATTCATGTAATCATCATAATATCATCACACACTTCATATTGCATACATCATCATCATCATAACAACATCAATTCTTCATAAGAACATACATCATATCACATCGAGGCATATTCATATCAATACATCATAAGAAGCATACATCAAGTTATATCAATGCATAATCACCTCACTTCATCATAACACAATCACTGGAGAAATATGTTATATGATTCGTTTTATTTCACTAAAGTATAGTGCGTCGTGTTATCTTTCTAACACTTTGAACGTCATGTCAAATGGATTCCGGAAACTCAAGATACGACCTTTATAAAATCTGTCAGTTGTCACTCACCTGAGGGTCGCCTGACAAGGCTGGGGCAAAAATTCTTCCCCATACAAAATTTCAAGAGCACCTATTTTCCATCATCTCATTCGTCCATCGATTACTTCATTCACCCAGCGAGCTCACGCTCGTCTCTGCTTCGCTCGATGAAGTTGGAGCGAGACATCTCCTTCATACGTTTTCCAGAACCTGCCCAAAAATCATCCTTCTCTCTCGCCTCACTCTCTCCCGGAGAAGTCTGGGAGAAGATGCTTTTTTCGGTAACTTGGGGAACTCGCCCGGAGAGGGCGCGAAAACAACAATCTTATTGTTGCATTTTCTGCACATAATCAGTCTCATAATTCTTACGATTCCACACCAGAACAAACTCAAAACTCACATAGTTTCACATGTTATCATCACACAACAACAACAAATCATAATAGGAATCATATACAGTAGTTCATAGCATTACAACATCAATATTTCACCATTTTCATCATAATCGTTATGTTATCAAACTCATCATAAAACCTTAAACAACCACCTACATACATTTAAATCGTACATCAACCATAATAATAAGGATAACCCTCATTTACCTTAGATTCTCCTAGCAATGATCTTTCCTTCTCTGTGTTCTACATAATCCCTCTGAGTTATTGTGCCTTAACTCTTCACTGAGCTCTTCTCTCTTTCACGATTGCACATAATGAAATATTGACACTCACTTTTTCTTGTTTAACCCATGGACCCTTTCTATGATATTCCTATATTACCCTCACTTATCACTTCACCAATTACCATCCCCCCTTATTATTTCTACACAATATAATTATTATCTCTATTTTCCCAATTAAAATAATTCTAAATAATTACTCTTATAATCTAAAATTATCAAAACATCTAATATCACTTAATTTCCACTATACCACACATAGCATCATATAACACATCATATTCATCAAAACATCACATATACTCACAAATACATCACAAATACTCATAATAAATCAATTAAATAATTAAATAATTAAATAAATAATATAATTATTTTTGAGATGTTACAACTCTCTCCCACTTAAAAGAATTTTCGCCCTAAAAAATTACTCGGTGGAAAAAAAATCAGATAAGACTCTCTCATCTGATCCTCATGTTCCCAAGTCCAACTTTTGCCAGCTGGTCCACCCCACAATACCTTCACTAAGGCAATATCTCTACCCCACAACAACTTCACTTGCTGACCTTTTATCATCATAAGTGATGCTTCAATAGCCATGTTATCTCTCACATGTACATCATCCATTTAGATCACATGTGAAGGGTCCGGAATGTATCTCCACAACTGAGACACATAAAACACATCATGAAGATTCGTAAGCGATGGAGGTAAGGTAATCAGATAAGCCACCTCACATATCTTCTCTGATATCTAATATGGGTCAAAAAACCGCGGTGTAAGCTTTCTCGACTTCAAAGCTCTACCAACGCCGGTTACCGGAGTAACTCTCAAAAACATATGATCATCCTTTTGGAATTCAAGTGCCTTTATCATATTATCATGATGAATATTATGGCGACTTTGAGAAGCTTTCATCCTCTCTTAAGTCATCTTAGTCTTCTCATTCGTTTCCTGCACAATTTCAGGTTCGAGCTCAACACTCTCGCCTGACTTATACCAACATAATAGAGTTCTACATATCCTACCATACAACACCTTGTATAGTTCCATCCCAATACTATAATGGAAACTATTATTATAAGTAAACTTAATCAATGGCAAGTGGTTGTCCCAAGCACCTCCTTGTTCCAACATAGAAGCCCTCAGAAAATCCTCCAAAGACTGAATAGTCTTCTCTGTCTAACCATATGTCTATGGATGATATGCAGAACTCAACCTCAACTTAGTACCGAAAGCATTCAGCAAACTTTCCCAGAACTTTGACGTAAACCTTAGATCTCTATCTGATATGATAGTCGAAGGTATCCCATGTAATCTCATAATCTCCTCAATATACATCTCAGCTAGCTTCTCCATAGGATGGTTGATCTTCATCAGTAAGAAATTATACAACTTAGTCAATCTATCCATAATCACCCAAATCGAATCATTTCCCTTAACAATCTTCGAAAAACTCGACACAAAATCCATAGAAATATTGTCCCATTTCCGTTGTGGAATGTTCAATGGTTGCATTAGACCCAAAGGCTTCTGATGTTCAATCTTCGATTTTTGACAAGTTAAACAAGCATAAACAAATTTGGCAACTTCCTTTTTCATACCAAGCCACCAAAACAATTTCTTCAAATCTTGGTACATCTTCGTAGCACCGGGATGAATACTTAAACCACTTGTACGCCCTTCTTCAAAAATACTCCTCTTAAGTTCTGGAACATCTGGAACACACACTTTATTTTTTAATCTCATTACACCATATTCATCAACTTGGAACTCACCTCCATTACCTTGTTTAATCAAGGTCAACTGACCAACCAATTTCAAAT